TTCTATTAATGTACATAATTGATAATTCGCTTTTCGTAACGGCGATTGTATTAAGTGGTTTTATATGAAACCGATTCAACCTTGAGTTTCATAGGCGTGTGCGTAAAACCGCAAAGTTAATAGCAAGATCCAGCGACAGAACATAACCATTTATTGGGAATGTTCAACTGATAAATATGTGCGTAACATTTCATTTGTGACATGACCATGGCTAAATATTTAACACATCTGGGTATACTTAGTTGTATCTCATTAAAACACATCCTCTCTTCTCTCTATCTCACTTTTTCTTAATCTATCTCTCTTCTTATAAACCCAACAAACAAAATCTATAGTCACAGAGCTGTCTGGCAGTTAACAAAGTTAGACCCTCATCGTAGAAACCGTGTAGATAAGGCACATACGCCTTATAATGCATTAGATAAACAGTGGCCACACTAACCTTTTCTCCGAAAGTTGTCTAAGAAAAAAAACTCTTGCCTCTTATTTTAGATAAGAAACGCTTCAACACAGCAACAAGGGAAACGAATGTTGAAGATGCTCCACCCGCGGCTCCTGCACCATCTAAGCCGAGCAGAAGTCGTTTTGGACGACGTAAGTCTAGACTTCATAAGTATATTGTAACTACTGTAGACGAGTAATAAGTTGACGTCGTTTTAAGGTCAATGTATTTGCCTTTAGGTTCCCATTGGCAGAGCGAAAGGTTCTGGAATTCGTCTTGAGCCAAGTTTATCTATTTAAATTGACTTATTCTATCGGTATAAAGGATTGCACTGTTTTGTTTGAACTTCATCGAAATGTCATTTATAGTGCTGCATCTCAGTAAGAGTACGAAGATATCACTTTCTCTTAGTAATGTGGTTGTCCTTAGATTTAGTATACCAAAGCTCCCTCAGCCAGAATTTTATAATCATGAATGTGACAATTAATCTTGATTTTAAAATAAGTGTTAAATTTAATGTGAATATAATTCCGCAGCGTCATCAAGATCGTTCCAAGAGGCTGAAGCGGAGGAACAGAATGACGCGGCCCCTCCCGCGAGAACTGGCAGGACGTTCTCCAGGGGAAGGGGGAATTAATTAAACATAATATAAGCTATACCTATTAATACCTTCAAATCTTGTATTCCCATCCCCATCCCGTACCATTTCCCAGTCATATGTGATCATACCAACTAGATATTTGGTCGTTACTCGCCAAGGCCGATTGATTTTATCTTTACTATATTATAAAATATGTCATAAGTATTTTTAAATAAATGTAGTAATATTTAATGCGTTTTTTTTTATGATTTTCCAATCATTTATGCTTTGCAATTATTTATGCTTTAGCAAAATCCTGACTATCAGCATTTACTATCTTTTATAAATATGATATAGTTAATTTATCTATAAAAATTACATAAAGGCATTTAAACACACTGTAAATAACCCCTAACATAGGTTAGGTTCTGTCCCCTTAGTTGGGATGTATAGTGAGCTGATAATAAGGATAAATTTGTACAAAAACTCATGATAGTATTATATTAAAAGTGGCAGAGTCGCAGACCTCTGTACAACCCAAGTACATTCTTGAAACGTTCACTGGTGACGTTATGACGTTCACTTTGTAAGAACGTGGGTCACCTCGAGGGGTGTGGCGTAGGCATAATGGGCTTTACCAAGTTCACATGCTGAGTATTTCCTAGCGTACGCGCATCTACGGAAGTATTAAAATATATTCTACCGATTTGTATGAATAATACAAACCAAAGTACACATCGAGGATTCCTAAATTTAAATACATAAGTTTTACTTATAAATTGTGATTTTTATATTTGTGACGAGTTTAAAAATTAAATAGGGACTGAATTGTATCACATTTGGAGTATGAAATGATATTCTTGAATATGAAAGGTGTTTTGATAATAAGGCGTTACGAATAAGATGTCAAGGTCTACTCGGGGAGCAACAAGAGCACGCGAGGACCTTGCGGGCTACTTGTTATTACGATAAACGGTTTTCAGCACAGCGCAATGAACCGGAGTAGCCTGTTTTGACATGTCATACATTAATTTAATTCAGTTTGAGATTACGTATACATTATTTACATTTACTTAGCTTGTCTCTTTAAAATTGAACAAGTGATCTCAGGAAAGGCGAAAAAATATCTCCTCTTGCTCTCTAATGCCCTAGAATTTCTAATCACTCCTTTTAGTTGACTCCGCAACTTCTATCTGAAAGATCTAGGGTTGTAGCTTTTCAATTTTATCTCTATATTTTTAACTAGCTTTTGCCCGACGCTCCGTCCGAGTGGAATAAAAAATACAAAAGTAAATAGCCTATGTGTCCTTCCAGACTATCCTCTACATCTATGCCAAATTTCATCGAGATCCGTTCAGCCGTTTAAGCTACAAACTCTAACAAATATGTATCCATTCATCCATCCATCCATCTAAACTTCCGCATTTATAATATTAGTAAGAAGTAAGATAGTAAGATTAATTAAACCCTAACAGACATTTCAGGAAAATTGCAAAGAATTCGTCAAAGGGCTCAATAGTTGCTGCCCCCGGCTTGGGAGTTTATACAATCAAGGTTTTGATACTTTTAGTTTAATGTTTCGCTATCGCTACCAACCCTTCCACAGTTTCATACGGCTTGTAATGTATAAAAAATGTTTATTGTCGATGTATAATACGAAGGGCCGTAGAAACTCTCAAACTCGGAAAGTCCATTTACCGACATTTAGAACGGGATAAAACTTTTGATAACTACATTTTTATTCGGATGATTCTATTTACGACAAATTGAAAATGCCAAGGTTGTATAACTAGTTACTGCTTAAATGTCCAACAGTTAAACAATTCAGTTATTAAATAAATAATACACGAATATCAAGTAACAAGTATTACCCCTGATCGAATAATTTACTGGCATGCAAATTACTTCTTTGAAATATAAAACTAGTCCATTCCATAATACTAACATGTCTCAGCATAAATTGTATAAAATTTCATAATTAACAGAATTACCATATTAAGTGTCTACTACTTAGCATGAAATGTTACTTTTTTAATTATACAACGTACACTTAGAATTCATTCATTGCGCTAATTACACAAGCGTATTCTACATTATCGTGCTATGATATTTCCTTCTAAATCAAACTTACAATAAATAGTGCTTCTAAAACCAGTCTGTTTTACTCATTAAATACATCTAATAAAATAAAGCGTAAACTTACACTACTTTGTGGCCTAGGATGTCAGCAATCACAGTATATTTTTGAAAAATTCTTTTTTACTAAAAAGCAGTGCTCTTACTAAAAAATTTAGTGTGTTCGAAAAAAACCTACATGTGGGAAAGGGACCATAAACTGCAAGCTGCCAACATTAAGGAAGCAAGGTTATTATGGTTAACCGTTTCTGACATTTGCAATTGAGAATTTGACAAATGTAAACAATAAAATATTTTTTTTATTATTTAATTCAAATGAAGCCGCACAGGAACAGCTAGTCCTTAATAAATCTTGAAAATAATATACGTGAATTGTTCATTGGCTTTACCTCAAATGACGAGTATGATAATATAAATTAGCAAAACTAATAAATATTGTTATACACGTGATGTAGAAAAGGTAGTCCACGATCCACTAACAGTATTTGAATACTATTACAATAAGAGCATTATAGTTAAGTAAAAAATGTAATTAGATGCTCGTAAGATGCATATAGATGTTAGTTGCTAACCTTAGTTAACTATGCGATGAAAGGCGGCATTCAGCCTTACGTAGATACATCCGGGTGTGCGCACTTGTATGTTCTTCCTGTATATAAATGATGCACATACTATCATGTTATTTTCTATTTATATAAATCAAAATGAATGCTTGTCTTTTTAACAGAGATAAGATTATTCTTTGGCACAATGATTTGATGATGTTAAAGAAATCTACTCGTAATTAAATAAAAAAATCACTAATACTATTTATTTAAAGTGTCTTAATTCTAACCGGCGCTGATTGATATTTCGCCGTATCAGTACACTGCTTTCGGTATAAGTACTTTATTGTTTATTAATTAAGGTTGCATTTCGCAAGCCCACGCATCATTTTTCAATAACCATAATTTGTAAAAAATGCACGCCGGGCGATAGTCACGGTATATATTTGTGTACTTGAACCACTACATATGTTGTTTATGGTAAGGCCTAAAATACTTTTACTAAGAAACTAAATAGTTGTGCGATAGTTTAGTTAAAGCTATGCTATAGCTATAACTTTTTTACACTTGTAAAGGAACCAAACATGTTCTAATCGGTTACATGGGACATACTGATTTGCTGGAAAAATACTATACTTTTATATGCCATCTGTTATTAAACGAAATAAATTGTTAATATTTAAAGGAAATGTAATAATCAAGTAACTTATATATTTATTGACAACAAAAGATGGCGTTGTACCTAATTTATTGTATGAATGCGCAATAACTTATCTTTATCTATGAGTCAAATAAAGTGCAACTGATAACACAAGTTATTTGCTTTGTTACAATTTTTGCTATAAATTTTGTATTAGAGATCTTGTGAAACTCTCCTAACTTTAGGTACTCTTCAGAGTACTTTCGTAAATCGGATTTAATGATAAAGAAGTTATCTATCAGTGTAAGATTTTTATTCGAAGAAATCAATTTAATATTTTCTGAATTTCACAAACAATCATGCCATTTTCTTGCAACATAACCACAGAGTCCATTGCCTATTTGGTTATTGTCTATGAAGTTGATATTCAAGATAGTCAAGTTGCAACATTGTTTAACGTGGAGATGGCGAATCGAATCTGAGATGATGCGAACCTTGCAACGGAAGGGAAAGCAAACAAGCAAAATCCAAACATTACATTGCGTTGTTCTAAATAAGCGTGAAAAAAAAATTAAAGTCATATTCTTTACCTGTATTTGTATTTTTCTTTGTGGGTGTTAAATTATTCCGTAGGTAGCGTTTATTCATTTTTTAATAAAATCTAAGCCATTCTACAATAGTTTAGATACATGAGATGTACCTACAATCTCTTTTTTTAACCCCCGAGTACTTAGGTGTTAGGTTTTTATTTATTCTATTGCAATTAAGCAAAATGTACCTAGTATATAAACACCGGAGTTTTTATCACTATTTTTATCACTAGGCATGAATTAGTCATCAAAGGATGTGTTAACTAATAATAAAAATAGACAACAAGCGGTTTATTTTGGAATAGTGGATGTAAGCTATTATGAGCAATCATTCTCTTTAAAAGTTACTTTTATTATTATTACCTCTTGTGGGAATATAAAACATCCAAAACTTGTTTTTGTGATTACCAGAGAAAATTTCATGAAAAAACAACAGTTGCTAAGGATGTTTAGGTACCTTATGCAATGCTGATGGGAACTTAAGCAAAGACAGGTTTGAAAAGCACTGGAACCTTTATCCTTCACGCTGTTATTCTAAGAATGGGATCGTCAAGTTTTTGAAGATTTTAAAAGACTTGTAACAAGTATTAACCCAATTAATAAACATTAAATTAGAAATCATATGTAGTATAAGCTATTATTCTTATTAGTACATTTTCGTAAAACAGTGTGAGATCTATACCTTTATTACTTTCCTACGGTCATAAGACACTTTGAATAAAGGAGCTTCGTTGCTTGAAACTTGAGATATCACTTATGTACCGAGCATTTGCAACGCTGGAAATAATTTTATCTATTCTACTAAGAACCCGTGGGACAATTCATATGCCATGTTACCTACTGATCAACAAGGTAATTATTAGTTCGCAATTAGAACTTACGGAAGTAGGTGCTGTTGTTTTGTTGCTGAAGTTTTTTATTGTAAGTTTTCATTAACTTTAATATTTACTATAGTACATACATCCCAAACTATCGTTAGTATGTCTTTTATTTGGGGGTAAAGATGCTGCCATCGGTAGAATAAACATTTTAATCCGTGAAAAAAAAACGTTGTACGTGTATCGAGTAATTTTTTTTAAACATTTGATTAAAAATAGATTAATGCATTACTTCAAAACATAACGCAACATTTACTTTCATTTATAGCATTTAAATTTCTCCTTTGAAAGCTTCCCAGATTTTAATGGCTTGTTTAAAAGCTTTCTTATAGAATACGTTTTCAGGTTTAACATGGTTGTGGATATCAAGTTGGTGCTTGTGATGGATGGCATAGGAGAAATCTGTACAAACATTCTTAATTTGCATGGTATCCAAACAATTAGAAGACCAAACATCTTAAGGAAGGATTTGTTAAATGATTTATATGTAAGTGTTATTGTCTGTTTAATAATTCTTTAATGATGTCGTAGAATCAATACAGTCATCACTTTTTATGGCAAATACCTTAAAAAAAGTTTATAAATTCCAGACTTATGACGCAATAGTAGTGCGTCCCGACGCTGAAGTTACAAGAGAAATTCTCGCCGCTGCATTTCGTTTAAAAGTAGTAGCCCTCGCGAGCCCTGGTTGTGGCAAAATCGACGTAGAGGCAGCCAGCAACAGGGGCATAAGTGTTATCAAGTGAGTATAACCACATTCATATATAGCTAGGTTAAGAAGAGAATTTGTGAGTATATATTACGTATAAAAAGTCACTCTTAGTTTCTAAGTTGGCAAGCGAGTGTCCGGCCACCTGGTTTCAGTACCTGCTATGTGATCGCTACCCATAGGCATCTGCAACAACTAGAAAGTTGCATATACGTTGAATACTGTAAACGGATATAAGAAGTGACATACAGTAAGACGATATTTTCCATTCTTGTACATTTTTCACTCGCCTAATCTACTTTTTAGGGTATACGAATTGGCATTTATAAAATATAAACTATAGGAATGTGTTAACAAATTTTAATCTAAATTCTTAAAAATATTATAAATGCGAAAGTTTAGATGGATGGATGTTTGTTAGAATTTGAAGCCTAAACGGCTGAACAGATCTTGATATAAATTGGCATAGACGTATAGGATAGTCCGGAAGTACACATAAGCTACTCGCTTTTGCTTTTTTTTAATTCTACGCGAATGAAGTCGCGAGCAAAAGCTAGTATGGTTATAATCTACTCGTACTTTCAGCGCTCCAAACTCGACTGTAATTAGTGCTTGTGAGTTGATATGCGGATTGTTATTGGCTGTGGCGAAACAAATGCGACCAGCCAGGAATGCGTTTTCTAAAGGTATTTGGAACTATGGATCATTCATAGGCAATGATGTCAAAGGCCGTACCGTTGCTATCATCGGTTGTGGCAGAGTTGGTAAGAAAGTCGCTAGTCGGATGACCGCTTTTGGTATGAAGGTAAGAGGTTTAAATATTGAAATATCGAATGATACCGTAATATTTACTACATAATCTCAACTATATTTATGAATCCTCGCCATGTAGCTAATTTTTTGTACTTTTCTTAATAACTGTAGGAGATAAACTGGCAGCAGATTGCCAATTTAGTGATCTAATGTCATGCAAAAAATGTATTGCGGATGCATGGCTTTTGACTAAGCATTCTATTTCAGTGATTTGGTTATGATTATTCATAGAACAATAAACATTAGAGTTTTAATGTGGTCTATTACAAGTGAGGCATTGGTTTTATACAATTTACAGGGTTAACATAAATTATATTGCGTCTTGTTAATTTTCGTATATCTCTAGGTCGTGGGATTTGACCCGCTGTTAGCGGTGACGCACCACAACGGGTTCTGCACTATGATAAAGGACCTGAATGAAATTTGGCCTATCGCAGATTACATCGTGTTGCTCGGTGATTACGTACTCTACTCGGTACTTATATAGATTTGATTTACTTAAAATGATCGCAGAATTTATGTCAACACTTTAATGGGTTTTAAAAATTCAAATTCCAGATAATTGGCTACGATCCGTTTGCAACCGAAGAACAATGTAAACAGTTCTTCTTATCAAAAATGACCCCGGAAGAACGACCTGAATTCCATCAATGGCTAAACATCCATTCGGCGCTCCTGGAACCTAATCGCAGTAAGTGATTAGCAACTCAGTAGTATGTGTGTATCTATAATACAAATAAATAAATGTAACATTTCTGATCTGTAATTGTATTTATAGACTTCATAAATGCGGATATTCTCCGTCGCTGCAAGACTGGGGTGAAGATAATAAACGTGGGTCGCGGTGGTCTTATCAACGAGAGTGACCTCTTGGATGCTCTTAACTCCGGACAGGTATTATCATTTATAAGAATAGACTACAACGAGTGATAAGCGACGACCGAGGGGCTAAATAATATGTTTACAAATATTTTCAATAATAAATATGATTATTTTACAATGTTGTAGGTGGGCGGAGCAGCTATCGATGTTTTGGAGGGGCAACAAAGCGATCCGGTGACTTTAACACTCATTGACCACCCACTAGTGATAGCAACGCCGCATATCGGTTAGCAAATTGTAATAAATACAATAGAAAGGTCATCTGTGACATACTTTCGTCCTAAAACATGCAGTTACATAATAAAAGGGTTTTACGATTTAAATTCAATAATATCATCAATGGATGTTAGAGTTTGTAGCCTAAACGGCTGAACGGATTTCCGTAAAATTTGGTATAAATGTAGAGGTTGGTCTGGAAGAACACATAGGCTACTCACTTTTGTTTTTTTTTCTTTAATTCCAAGCGGACGGAGTCACGGGCGAAATCTAGTTTAGAATAAACCTCATGAATGATGATTCGAAGATTAAATTTTTATATAATCGATTATTCACACTTTTTAAACGTAAACAATTAGCAATGTTTGTAAATATTTCGCCGTACACGGGCAGCTTCAAGAAGTTGACAGCAAGTCTTAAGACAGTTGTAGCCTGTAACTGTCCCTGTATGTTGTTCCTATTAGTAAATATATTCCACAGCTACATCTACGGCGGACGTGTCTGTGCATGCGGCGAAGGAAATAGCGGAGCAGATCATTAACTTAGTGAAGCCAGGGACATACTCCACTATGCTGTCTGAAATTAATAAAATCTACGACTAACAACGCTTTTTACGACTTTTTCATTTGTTTTTCGCTTTTAAACTTGTGTCTGTTTTTTGCTTGATCTTTGTAACCGTTTTGAAATTTTTTTAATTAAACTAAGTAATATGCAGTAATTTTTTTATTTCTATCATTTCACAAAGTATATGTTTGTATAGTATTGTATGCATAAAAGGTAATAGTGCATAAAAATGTATCGTATAGTCATAAAGGATACTAAACAATATTACAGGAACACGAAATTTTGTTTTCAAATATCGTAGTGCGAGCATTTTTGCTCTAGCTTTGTTGATTGACTTCTCTCATTAAGGGTGAGTTGCATCAAATCGCTGGTTATCGTAAAAGTTATAATAGGGTTACAAGTGCAAAAACATATTCTCACAGAGGTTTTATGTGTTTTTCGTTTTTACAATGGAAACATTTAAACCTGAATGTCACTAAAGTGTCAAGTTGGTGTCAAGTATGACATTTACGTAAATTAAAATGTTTGGAAATACATGTTTCGCCGATTATATTTATGTATCATACGCATGGTATTTTATAGTGAAATAAACTTTTTGCCCACGAAGATGGAGAAAATGGCAAACTCTTGTGAAAATAAACTAGTTTGGGCCATTATTGAAACTGTATTTACTTTACTACTCAAATATGTAGCAAAAATGAAGCAATAAAATTATACAAATATAAATGCATCTTATTTATTTTCCATATTATAAATTGTCCTGTCAATGCATATTATAAATTGTCCTTTTATGGAGGACATTTTTTTAAATAAGAGAAAAGGGACAAGCGCTGTTGCTATGGCCTTAGACACTCGAAATTTGTCCAAACTGAATGTTTGGCCAAATTTCGAGTTCCATCTTGGAAATCCATTATTTCCGAGCACGCAAGACTTTATTCTTCTGGATTACGTATAGGATAATAGTAGAGATTTTCGTTTTCCATTACTTTTTCCATTATTTGTGCTTTTGAAGATAAGAGCTTGTGACAGTTGACACTACCGAACTGACACTAACCGTAACGCTAACTATAACCGCCCAAAATCGGGCGGTTATGATTAGTGTCAAATATGACGTCATTTTGACCAGCGCAAAACTGGTGTAGCAAATATCATGAACATCCGAAGACGTAACCATCGGGAATGTGCTGGTTAAGGTTTATAGTTAGTTAATGTAACTCATCCTTAGTAAATTTTAAGGTTATTCCAAATATTACTGTTACAAATAATTTTAACTTTAACGGTAACCGGCGATATGGTGCAACTCACCCTTAACGTTTTAAATAATTATTAAAATTAAAGGATGAAAATGGTCATTAAAAACAACAATTTCATAAACAAAAATGTATTACTTAAAATAAATGCTATCGATTACAATGCATTTTTAAATACAAAAATTACTCGAGCAATATAACGATATAAGAGCAATATAAAACTAGAAGCTAATATAAACATTATAAAAGATCATTATAATATGTAGAATATGAAAATGGAGTGTAAGATACAGCTGGGATTACTTCTTTATGATCTTGGTGACTTCAGCGAGGGGCGTCGAGTATGTGCCTGGCTTCGCCAGATTAACAAGCTGTTCCGCTATCTCTTGTCCCACGCGCACTTGGGCTTCTTTGGTTGACGCACCTGTGAAAATCATGTTATCATTAACTGCAACTGCAAACATCAATACAAAATCATAATGAGATTATCTATCAAGATGTACGAAAAAGACCTCGGGACAGGTTTCTAATGTCCACAGGAGGGCGCCAGTGAAGTGACATAATTTAGTTTGACTCTTTCTCATCGTCTCAGATATCCTTGTCGATGTGTCTAATGAAAGAAATATATCTCACCGAGATGCGGTGTTGCTATAACAGACGGATGCTTGATGATCTTCCACGTCAGAGGATCAGTCGGAGGTTCCTGTTCAAATACATCGATCGCCGCACTGCCAACCTGAAACACAATTCACATACATTTACATGTGTATTATCATTCGGTGCTGAAATTGTTCAGATCTGATTAAGGCCAGCGTAAAATTATAAATTAAAAACGCTCGAGTTTCGAGTATTAGTAATGTAAGAGGTGTCGCCCGCAAACTTCGTTAGCGCAAATTTGGACCACCCGTTACGCCATTGTGACAGCGCAAAATTAAAAAAAAGTAGCCTATCCATTTCAGCTACCCTCCATAGAAAGTCTCGGAACAGATGTGGCTTGCGGACAGACAGACAAAACATTTTTAAATGCAATTGTCATTTTCAGTTAGCAAATAATCTTCCCAAAATATAGAAATTTTTCTTTTGATATTACAAACAGACACATATAGATGAACAAAACCGAAGAGTGTGTAAAATATAAGAATGGATGGGCGTAAAGTACCTGTCCAGAGTTGAGTGCATCTAAAAGGTCTTGCTCGTTGATAAGCCCGCCACGGCCGACATTTATCATCTTAACGCCTTTTTTGCAACGTTTAAAAACATCAGCATTGATGAAGTCTGTGAACGATAACAGTTCATTGAATTTAAAACTCATTCTAATACATAAAGTACGTGTCTCTCACTTTAAATAAGTATTAGGAATAAACATTTGTACAAAACATTCGGATAGGATATAATATTCTAAATGTTGAAAAATCAAAAAGATACTCCACTAATAATTACTTTTAATATTATTAGAGAAAATGTATTACTTATTTTTATTCCTGTATAAAATTGGGTGACCGATAACATCGAAGTTGTCAGTATTATTCCGATATTTTGTTCAACATCTTAACGATAAATCTATTTACTTATCAGTACTGAGTAGCAACACGTTCTTATCATGTTGATTATAGAAAATTGTTCTGTGTACATTCTAATTATCAAGCTGAAAATAGTATTAACAAATTAAAAACGTTAATTCTAAACTTACCATCGTCCCTTATGACGTGTAATAATTACAATTGCTAGTGGAGTACCTTCTAGATAGTACGAGTAAGTACTATGTTTATTAAAGATACACATTGAAGTGATCATTGGAATCCAATATTTCTTAACGTGTACTGAATTCCTGATTATGTTGGTTAACTTACGGTTATGAAATCACTACTTTAGCCTTTACATTTCGTTACTTAGTTACTTTAGCATTTCGTATCCTGTCGGTGTTCATATAAATATCACTTTTGTGATGAACGAAAAGTTGAGATGTAATGATACTCACTGCGCGTAGATTCAATGAGCGGTGTATGAAGGGTGATGTATTCAGCCAACGGCCAGATTTCCTCCAGCTCCATCTTAGTGCAATGGAATGATTCACACTGCTCCGCGGTTACAAATGGATCGTATCCGATTATCTGAAAATTATATCATTATTTACTAAAAAATATCCATAAAAATGAATGTTGTTAAATCTTTAATGATGTTATTATACGTGAATACAAAGCTTTGTTATTTTAAAGGAATTAAATGACCTGTAAAAGTATGAAAGAAGTACAATTTTATTGATTTATAAATTTGATCTCATTGACAATATGCAGACAAACATATTTAAATTTATTTGAGAAAGCTAAGTTTTACATTTTTATACTGTACTGTAGTATACAAGATACTGTTTTCTACTCAAGACGTGTTCACAATAAACTACTATACAGTTAGGAATCTATTAATAAATGAATACCTTCATTCCAAAAGCGTGCATGCGCGTAGCAACTTCCCTGCCGACCCTGCCGAGACCAAGGATAGCTAGAGTCCTGCCATTAACTTCAGTACCGGTGTACTTAGATCGCTCCCAACGGCCATCACGCAGCGCGGCTACAGCAGGCACTATATGTCTTGTTACAGACATTATCAACCCACATGTCATCTCACAAGCACTTAAAGCATTTGCCCCTGGAGCACTGAAAAACCAATAAATAATGCATATTCATCTCTAATGTCAATATGAGTTTTATCAATAATCTAAGTAGTCGTGGTCAACTTTATACGTGTAAATAAAACAAAAGTAAGTATGTGCTATTCTAAACTATCTTTACTATTTCATCGGGATCCCTCCAGTCGTTAATTTATATACTAACACCTCAATCTTGTGAATTTTATATTGGTATAATTATAAAAAACAAACTACTACATATGAATCGTAAACTTCATTAACCTTTATGAACCAGGACGTGTCATATTTACGAGTAGTTCAGAGTACGAATGGCACTCAGTCGGAAACAATAGACGGTTAATCAATAGATATTGGGTGTCTACGACGTAACGTAGGTGTACAATATTGCGTAGACGATACGCCCGACAATACTAGGGATCGTTACGTACTTTAGTGTGTACTATGTAAACTGATGACCTCTTTGTATCAAATATATACCTAAGTATGTTTTAATTTTTTTTTCGTATTCATTTATATTCCCTTACTGTGATGTGTGACTTTTTTCTTTCTTTTGATTTATCACATTTTTCTGTATTTTTTTTTCCTTTATATTATATTTTGTATCCTTTATATTATTGTTTTTTTTTTAAATTATTAAATGTGATGATTTTTTATTGCAGTAAATGATAAAATAAGCTCCGGTGAATTATAAAAAGCTTGAGTAACTATTAGTAGAGTAGTAGGTCGCTAAAGGAGGTAGAGAATCGAAAAAGGTTTTATTTATTGTTTTGTATTACAATTTAAGGCGAGTGTTTTTAAATTATCAAACAATTTTATAAAAAAAAAAAAAACAATTGAATGCTTAATTCTATTTTGAGAATCAAAACATTTTTGTGTCAATTAGATACAAGTGTAAATTAACATTGTATCTAATTAGTTTAATTACAGATTCACTTGTTAATGAGTAATTTAAGTCCGTAATCTAATGATTTATAAGAATCCTGAGGATTATCGAACATTCCTAATTAGTTTCTGAAGAGAAGTTTTAATAAATAAGACATAAACATATTTTTCCAAAAGTATTATTAACAATAATAGGAACATACCTGTATACTACCTATTTTATATTTTCTTTTTCAAAAAGAATTATATTTAAAACATAACATTCCACGGATGTTACGGCTGTATAAACTCACGGTTATACAAAACGCGTAACGTAAAAGATGTAGAGCTAAAATAACATCAAATAATGGTTAGCATAGTAACCAATACCTACTTGATAACGCAGATTCCTTTGGCGGCGGCGGCCTCCACGTCAATATTATCTACGCCGGCGCCGGCGCGAGCAACCACCTTTAATTCTTTCCCAGCTTCTAAGACCTCTTTTGTCACTTGAGTAGCGGAACGCACCACCAAGGCATCATAAACCTACGAAACGCAAAACCGTAAATGTACATGTAAAACTGAAAAAAAATACTCGTAGCTACACCGAATTATGTATAATCTAATTCAAGTTATGTTATGCAGTCAATGGATTTTTATTTCCATTACTAGCTAGCCCGCGACTCCATCCGCGTGAAATTAAAAACAAAAAAAAGTAAGTGGCCTTCGTGTTCTTTCATTATATCCTCTACATCTATGCTAAATCTCTTCGAGATCCGTTCAGACGTTTAGGCTACAAATTCTAACAAACATCCATCCATCCAAACTTTCGAATTTACAATATTATTAAGAATGGCCTAGTGATAACCCTGCACAAAAACGGTTCGCTAGCTAATTAATAAAATAAATAAGCATTTATAAAAAGGTCCCTCGTTTTAATTATTAAAAAGTCTTATCTATTCTAGATTCAACTACATTCTAATTAAAAAAACAAACAAAACACACGTTTAATTTACGAGTAACTCGATCAAACAACGTCATTATGATGTGTTTATATAAACGATACTTACAGACACAGTCCTTAGAAGTTCTTCTTCAGTTATTTTCACGGTATTAGTTGAATAAATGCCATTTTGTGCCAGAATTTCGGAACAATTTTTGCCCACTCCATCAAGTATGAGAACTGATCCAATATTCAGTGCCATTTTGATCTGAAAGATTATTAAAAAAATTAATAAAAAGGCAATGTCTTAAAAATGACAACATGGAACTATAAAACATAAATGCACATTCATAAAATTTATTTACAAACTTAAAATAATATGATAAGCAGCATTATGCCGATTGAGACTTGATAATTTCTTATATACTAACTTTCGCCCGTGACTCGGTCCGCGTGGAATTTCAAAAAAAAACAATAGTGTAGCCTATGTGTTCTTCCAGACTGCTCTACATCTGTGCCAAGTTTTATAAAATCCGTACAGCAGTTTAGGCTACAAACTCTAAAAAAAATCCATCCATCTGAACTTTCGCATTTATAATATTACTAAAAAGTAAGAAGTAAGATGTACGTTGAGCATATATTATATATATAGCTATATTTCATATTTTTGTAAACGCGTAGCAAGTTAACATTAATAATTTAACATAATACATTAATAGCTAGCAGATGAAAACATCCTGTATTCAGAGATATTTATTCAGACATAGCACGCACAGCTTCGCGTTTTATTGATTCCATTAAATTCAAAGTAAAACGCAAATAATGTCTCAATCAATGAAATGCTTCACATCGTTTGTGCTCGTAAATAATATCTACAACAACAGATCGCAAAACGAAAGCATATAGAGTAGAAATAAGATAACTTACAATTAAAATAAGAGTTCAATATGATGACAAGACGGCGTCGACCCGATACTTGATGCAATCACTCGGAGAAGCCGGTCGTTAGCTCGTTGGTCTTCGGGCGACGGTCGGCGATGAACTAATTGTGTGGAGCGGTTTGGTCGGTTGGTGCGCAAGTTATCACAATCGCACACATCTACATTAAGTAGGGTAACCATATTATACTAGATAAATCCGGTACATTTTAGTGACCATCGTAATTCTAAATAACGAGCTTTTAAAATAGATTTCGAGTTAACAAAAATTATGAAAAATTCGTTCTGTGCTAAACACTGTAAAGAAGACATCGCCCTATTATTTTCTGAAATATTAGCAATTTATCCTGAATTTTAATGAAGGTTTTAAAGACTCCATAAATAATTATTTGGTCATAGTATTCTTCACCACATATGTAACAGTAAATTTAACATACACAGCTTTTGGGACACCCTTTTGGTTTGAAAATTGGATATCGAATTTGATTAAGAGTATTGAAAATGTAAAAAAAAAAAACATGGACTTTTTCAAGAATTTATGTAGACATTATACAGATTTTATGGTAAAGAAACCATCCTTATGAAACCATTTAAAAAGTATAATTTTTTTTAATTACATTGTTGATATCATCATATTCTTCCTTACCCCGATCCCGTAGGGTCGGCGCAACAGGTTTTTGTTCTCCACATAATTCTCTCATACGTCTCAGTTATCACTCCCTTATTGATCATGCTACCTTCCACGCAATCCACCCATCTCTTTCTAATATCTACAGGTTTAAAAAAAAAACATTAACAATCCATTAAAAAAATATTATTACCATGCGTGAGTGGATTATTTGGCTTCAAAAAAATGCCAATTGTCGCATAGATTTCATTACTTTGTTTTGCTCTTGCCTACGTTAAGACAAAGGTGTTTTCAGTGAAATAACAGTAACAAATTACATAAGTTAAATACGAGGTAAACGAGTCTGAGCCGTTTTGTAGGGACACCAATTTGCGGTAGCATGATGAAATCTTTAAGGTAAAAAGCTGGCAATAACCAGTAGCGACGGACAGCGTTGGAATAAGATAACAAGTTGTTTATATTGACGCATGTAACCGACATTATTTGTAAGAGGGCATCATTCTTGCTTGTTCTATGAACAATATTGCAATTCTTTCGCAACAAGCTAAATAACACCAATAAGAGAAAACAATTTGATAAGTCGTTAAATTGGAGCACAATTTATTATTGCATTTCAGATCGATATTTCATTTGAAATATAAAACAAACACATTATACGATTTAAGTGGTATTTATTAAAAATTTATGAACGCTGTCGTAAACATAGTTCAAGGTATTCGACTGTGAACGTCGATACTATTTTCTGTTTCGCTTGACCTCAATTCATTTATTATATTTATAACTAAGCGATTCAAGTAAAAGTGGTTAATGTGTGTTAAGTGAGAGAAAGGTACAAGAAATAAAACTAATAAATTGTGTACATTATTTTCTTATTATTAAGTTTATTATCACACTTACGAAAGATACAAAACATATCACGATGGCACTAACTATCAGTGCTTCAGGATACAAATAATAATTTGATGCTCAATTTTCGTAACTATTGATAAACGATTTCTTAGCTTAATCCCTAAGAAAGGTTCATGACTTAACTGTAATAAATTAGGATATTTTTGTATAATTTTTGTCTTTTAATTCCAAAACTGTAATGAACTAACGATATCTATAATTCTAAATTGATCTAAGAATCCTTGTTCAGTTTAAAAAAGTATGTTTTCAAATTTAGACAAATAATTCATGGATATAAAATTTAAAACAATATTCAACAATTCAATTATAGTTGAATTGTATGGAGGATGTATAATATTCTAATAGAGTAATATATGTATAATTAAATGTGTAACTTATACGAAATGTGAATATCGTTGGCTGTACTTAAAATACATACATTATATAAGTAATGTAGTAATAATTTGATTGCTTTGGCGTACAAGACCACTTTGAGACAAATGGAGTTATGATATTGGCAATTCATTTGAACATAAAGTGTCGCCATTTGATCGCCACCCGTGGCCACGTACAATAACAATCATTAATTCTAATATGTACATAACTCATAAAATAAACGCTAAGAAGTATCCGTATATATAAAAGGCTGGATTCAATAAAGGAATCGTGGAAACATAAGGTATGCAAATGTTAGACACCTAAAATACATAAACCTAAATAATTACATACAAATATTGGTACATTACTATAATTGGAGATGTTATTGAAATTAAAAAAATAAAGTTATCCTAAATTCTAAACAGTTTGGGGAAGTGAATTGACTAAAGTAAAATGACACGTCTTTGCTACGTTATATTTTTGGCACTGTTAATGCAAAAACAAGTTTTAAATTAGTTTTAAAAAATTGAAAACAGAACACATGCCTATTTTTATAGGTGTTTTAAAATCAAACAAATCGTTGTTGGAATTTAAGATGTTGGCAATACAGTTATTGTTCACTTTACCAGTGCTTTAAAAGCATGTCATTATACCAAAATTAAAAATACGTAGAATAACCTTGATGTACTACACAGAGCATATATTAGACATGAATGTGTATGTAGCCCTACACGTGACGCTTGATCTATTTTACTATTATGAGAGAGTATTTAGTAAGGTAATATGAAACTGATTAAGTTGCCGATCGATTAACTCTATTTTCGAGGAACTGCTAAAATAATCAGATTGGTGAAGAAAATTATTATTAGGAATGGTTTTTTTACTTATTTCCTGAAGTTAATCGTTCAGTCGCTTTATTACTTTATATGACTGTGAAGTACTTGTCAAGAGTTCCACATTATAAACAATTTAATTGTGTTGGCGCGTTCCTCTGGCGGGCCTGGCTACACGGCCAATGCCGGCAGCTCTGCGGCGGGCTATCAGAGCGTCGAGACCTCGCAGTGGAGGCGCAGGTGTCGTTTCCGCTGGCTGAGCCTCCGTTTCTGTCTCATTCTTCTCCTCACTCGTACTCTCCTCTGTTGTTTCCGTTGACAACTTCTTAACCGCCTCAGTTGTGGCCTGGAAATAATGTTTTAACATGTCTGTTATCACAACAGATTATTCAAGAGCTACAGCGTAGAAATCTACTATCGTAAAACTTGTAACATAACGCATATTGAACTCTTAGTTTAAATATAAATCCCAGCAGAGGAATTCCGCTGTTAGGGTCAAAGTCAAATCGGTTTTAAGACGATATCATTTGCAACATAAACACCTGAATGTCTTAGATAAGAAATATTCCATAGATAACGCGTACTGTTCATACTAGAAAAATAATAAAGATTACAAACGTGTACGAAATCTTTCGTTATGATTATACAAATGAGTACGCGGAAATTTTCAAAAGACATTTTTGTATTCCTGAAGATTGACGTATATCGTTATTATATTTGGTACTTACCTCCGTGGTCGGCTGCTTTCTCTTTAACAATGGGTTGACACGACGAGCTGGTGGCGTTACGGCAACACGTGGCTTGGGCGACGGCGAAACCTGTAGACGGTTCCTAATCTTCAGACCTCCACGCGGTTGTTCAGGAGCTGGAGTAACTGGAGTTCCCTGGTGAAGATTAACATAAATTAATACTTCAGTGTGATAAGTTTTTGGTATACTCAAGTACTATGTTTGAATCTATAATTATCTGAATATTTGATACGATTTTTTTAATTTATCTGCATTTTCTTTACTTGAACAAAAAAATTAACTCATTATGTGGCATGTTGTCATGACAACAATGTTAGATGTAGACGAAGTGTGACTACCCGATTTGCCGCCCATTATCTATTAATAATAAAATATAAATTGTTTTTTTTTTCTTATTCATAATTAAAGCTGTAATTTAAATTTAAAAACCGTCATAATAAGAAAATTAAAAAGTTTTAAATCACTTCCATTAAGTGTCATAAAAATATGACCCTCATTACAAAATGATTAAGTAATTGCAGCATAAATAAATTAAATGATATTTAAAAAATGGCACGAGAAAAATTACTTTTGCATATTGTACGCACGATACAAAAATCTACAGTAAATGAGATTTGTTACCATCAGCTAACGCTAATTGATTAGGCGAGTATTAACTATAGCAATTCAAATGTTTATTTTATTTAGTAAGTACATTATGTAATTTTTATGATAAAATTTCAAATATTATAAAGAGTGTTGATAATGTTACCAACGAATCGTGACATGATAAATAGATAAATGCGATAAAGATTGCGAATGTATATAGAAATACCATAATAGTCTTCAAATGTGTTTGATCGTTTGACTCAATTTGTTGTTGTTATTTTCACCGTTTACATATCACTCATATTGTATAGTTACTTCAAAAAAGTGACTTTGATAACAATGAAATAACAATGTCCTCAAATCAAGAATATTTTTTCAGAGGTTAGAGTTAATGTTAAAAAAATCCGTCATTTAAAATAAATTATCGTCTTCATATAATGAACGACCGTTTTAGTTGTATGATTGTTGTACGCCTAGAATAAGTTATATTTGAGCCTTGTTTACGAATAAATGTGCCGTCAATTATTCCTTACCTCACTATCGGCTTCCGAGGCAGGAGTTACTGATGATTCTGCTGCTGAGGTTTCAGCGGCGGGAGTCTCGGAGGTTTCGGTTGGCGCTGCGCTGACTAAACCTGGCCTTGCGCGCGCGTTTGGTCGCAGGTTCAGCCTGGGCCCAGGTCGCAGTGAAGGCACTGGACGAATCTGACCTGGTCTGCGACTGAAATATACAATGGAAAGTTTTAAATATGTATAGTTGTAACATATGTACTATTAAAAATTATATGTACTACGCCAAATAAATAAAACTTGTCAAGGGGGTGTACTATAAATATAAATTTATAGTCATAAAGGCTGTACTGTGCGAGGGACTGGACCGCCAAATTCAAATTCAGATTTGTCAGTTATCTCTGATCACATTCTAGGAGATAGCAAGGTGCGCCATTGAAGATTACGTCATGGAGGAAATTATCATAAAACTGTATAATGACTATTAGTATTATAATCTTGTCTTTACCCAATAGTTCTGACCGGTGCAGCTGTTGTTTCGGCAACTTCTCCTGAACCAGCGCTGGGTGCTGTTGTCTCCTCACCCGAGGCAGCAGACGCAGCCGAGGAGGGCGCGACAGTAGTTGCAGCGGTTGTCGTTAATCCCCGACGCAAACCGGGACGTAGGCGCGGTCTGTTGATTATAAATAGAAGATTATCCTTATTGCCACAACGAGCGGTAATTACTTACACATTTGAAGTGTAATGTACACAAACGATTTTTATCTTTTAAAAAAAATCAAGAGTTAAGTAAACATATAGTACGTGTCTTCATTGTGTGCGCGAGCATTGTTACCTAACCGAGGCATGCTCTGATTACTGTAAAGCAAGTTTTATCGACCTGCCCACTATATACTTTAATTACACGTTTAATATTGATATTAATAGACCGATTAAGTTGCCTATTTGATTTGGGTAATTAATGACGTTCCGGATAGCGTAAGCAACTTCTTATTTCTTTGGGGCGCTGAAAAATGTTATGGTTACTGGCCATTCATCAATACTCTGTCGTAAATTAGCGCCACCTCTAAATATATGTGTGCTTTTTTCATAAAAGTACACCTTCGTTATATTTACAAGACTTTACGCAAAAGTTACTCCATTTCCAGTATTTGATGTTTAAATATACGACGTACTTTGATTGTAGTCAAGATATCAAAGAAAATAAATATGTGTGTAAACATACCTAGGCACTGATGCTTCGGTGGCCGCGTTTGCAGTGTCTTGTGCAGGTGCTGCAGTTGTCGAGCTGGGTCGAGTTCGGCCTGCGAACAGTCCACGACGACCGAACGCCTGTAACAAAGGAAATAATTAAAAATTAACTGAACACTTGTATAAAAGTGATTACTCGCAGCCTAGCGGTTTCTTAAGTTAAAGGTGCAGATATAATCATGAATTCGATTGCTGTTTTGTAGAATTTATAAAAGTGTTTAAAAAGTATTTATGTTACATAGGTACCCTACTGTTACTTTTTGGGACTAAAGATTTGTACCTTCCTTTGTAAAATGATGAAGGCAAGATTTTTCTTATATTAATGATACAAACATTGGCTCAGCATGTGGCGATTGGCGGCGGAATAAATTATGAGCGATTAATTTAAACGGATGAGCGTAAAGAAAAATTTAACTTGTGTAATTCAATCGTGAGTTCGTGCATTAAAGAAAGCGGTTATCGGCACGAGTCATCTTCGTGTAACGTCATTACTGATGCATTACTGATGCTCGCTATCGATTACGGTTCCGTACGCAACCAAGACAGGTTTTGATTTGTTTTAAAATCGTATCAAATTTATTAAAGCTTAAGGAAAATAATATGACATTTCTCCTAGGGCGCAGACCCTTCGAGATTAGGATAAGAAAGGGAAGATGATGAAATGATTCACATTTTTAATCCATCCGAAAAGAAAAGCCAATATTGACTTTTTATTATTACATATTATTGTGCTATTAGGGACAAAGAATGTATTGTCAGAAACGTTTAGTTTAACAGTAATTCATGTAACGGAAATTCAAAGGTTAAAAACCAACGGCATTGAACCTTCGACCGTTAGTTTGTAAATAGGTCACATAGTCACTGGACTATTAATGGAATGTGTTATTAAAATGTATTCAAAAGCCATTCTGAACCTATAAAAACCTTAAAATACGCAAGCTATACTAAATTTACAACGAAAACTTGTATCAAATTTAATATTCATAATTATGACGTCACGACTGAATTACAAAAGGTCAGATAGAAATGACAGACTTAAGGAGGGTCCTGGCTCACATCATTCATTTACTTACACAGGCTTATGGTTTCAATAATTTATGTAGGATGTCTGACTCTTACTGTTGAACCCTACTCTCATTATTATCCAAGATGGACGTATAAGAAATTTAAATAAAGGCTGGATAAGTGGCGACTTAAACTCCTGTACATTAGAAGTGGACAAAACAAAAAAGTTGATGCAGTTATAAGTTAACTATAAGATAGTAAAAAATTACATAATATCGTTACTTCATAGGAAAATAACTTCTTTTTGAGGAAGTAAAGGAATACGATACGAATAGTGTTTCGAAAGGGACTTCGATTAACGTTTAAGAGCAATATAACATTTTACTAAAGTCAAGGAAAGCTGAAAGCTATTATTAATTACAGAAATTCCAAATTAATATCATTAGATATGAATGCGTTAGTAAAATTAGAAAATAATAGCATTAATGCGGTTGTTAACTATTGTGATTAAAAATAATTAGTTTTTGTATTCGGATGTTACCGCTGTAAATAAATCATCATTCATTATCTTAAATTTCCCAGTTTACATTGATTGTGTAATTTTTTTACACATAATTTCACAATACCCGTTTATTTATGATGCAATTGACATGCATTGGTTACACACAAATTAAAAAGAATGGTAATTCGCATTGCAAACAATCGCTGACGCATAGGATATTGCATGACATTCGCATTGGAGTAAAAATATTAAAATGTTAGATGCAAACCTTAGGTTGTGCTGCGGGCTTGTCTACGGGTGCGGCGGAGGCACTTTCTGCGGCTGTGGAAGGCGCAGCCGCGGTAGTTTTCCTTCCACCATTCGGTTTACCGAATCGACCTGTCGGGAAACACTTGTATATAGCAAGATTACACGTGTTCTAAGTAATAACGCTACAACACATTTTAATACTAACATTTGGGGCGTAGCTTAAATACTATGTAAAGATAAAGATTACTACTATTAATTATATTATAATAGATGTCTATAAAAAAATCGTAAAAATTGCAATATATTTCTATTTAGGAATTACTGATGGATGTCACGTCATGAAAGAAACTAACAACACGCAGTGATTAAGTGTTGTATAGAGAATGTAATAAATTGCTGTAATATGATATTTCATAACAATACATAACACAATCGCAAAGCAATATAAGAAACATTGATATTTCGCTTTCGCGCACACTTTAAATATCGTACATACTAAATATAGATAAAAGTCATGGAGATAATTATTGAAAGCTTAGCTAGTAAAATGGCCGTGAGAAGAGCCTGTTTTGTAGCTTATGTGACGACAACTTTCTCTTCACAGCCTATGTGTAAACAGGATTTGAAAAATTAAATGAAATCTTATAATTTGTGATCGTCTTCAAGTTATCTCTTAAATTTATACATTTTACCCAAATTATAAGAGGTAAATCTTTGATTATAATGATACATGGTTCATTTGAATTGTCACAAGTTATAAAAGTAAACCAAATATTTTAAATTTACCTCTTGCTCTCGTGGAGGTTTCCTGTGGCGCCTCTGTGGCAAGGCTTGTCGAGATAGAAGCGCGGCCACGAGCCCCTGGACGCCCCTTAAACCTCGATGGACGAGTTGCAGGCGCGGCAGTTGTGGTAGTTGTAGTTGTTGGGGCTGGTGTTGTGGTGGTCGTTGTTGTAGTTGTAGTTGTCGTTGTAGTAGTGCTAGTAGTCGTGTCCTCTTCTGTAGTAGTTATTGCTTCCGTTGTCCACCCATCGTCCCCTACAGTAGTCGACCCATCGAAAGTTAGTACATCATTAGTTGAACTTATTTCGTTGTTCAAGTTTTCTCCAGCTAAATATGCGTAAAGGTCGAGGGCAACCTTCTCCATTGCGGTCATTGTCGTGTACTCGGTCGTATCTTGTTCATATGTGGTAGTTTGCTTATAATCTGAAGGTAATTTCGCTTCATCCGTAATCTCTTGGAATCTAATATTTCCGTTAAGACTGTGTCCTTCTCTTACAGTATCCTTAGCATGCGATGGTTCACTAGGAACTGATTCCTCTTCAGAAACTTCGGATGTAGTTTTACTTTCAGAAGAATATCTCGTTGGAGGTTCTTTATATTGAGATGGAATGTCTCCAGAGTGAGTCTTAAAGCTATCGAGATCTACAAGTTCCGAACTTGGTCGTCTGAAAGAAACATGGTGGAGAAAATTAAGGAATATAAATCGAAATGTCTTACAAAGTAAGGTAACATTACACAACAACTTTACCTGATATGGGCACGTGCTCTACTTCTAGTTTGTCCAATTGATTCGTCAGCAACGCTATCGCTTTGTGGACGACCTCGTTGTCTCGTGATTTCCGACGTTGCTTCCGGAATATGAGTTGTAGTGGATGCTGAACCACCCAAGTTACGGCCACGGGGCGGGAAACGAGTACTAGATGGAAGCCTTTTTAAATTAAAGGTAATTTTAAAATCCAGATGGTAATTAACATTTTATAAAAAATAAAGAAAAAACAAAAAGAAAACATATTTTAAATATGAGTGATAAAAAGTACCTTTCATCTTCAATTTCTTCCTCCACTGGTACGGGTGAAAAGTTTGAGCGACCACGAGAACGGCCTCTAGTCGCAGCAGGCAAAACTTCATTTTGTACTTCTGCTGTAGCCGCAGTAGTGGCACTTGACCTATCAATGGTACTGTATTTGCTTCTTTTACTTTCTTTGTTTATTTGATTTTCAGATTCTACTTTTGCTGGCCCATCATGGGAATTAACTGTAGGTTCTGGGATCTTTTCCGTGGTTGTTGTAGCTTTAGTTTCTTTCTTACTGCTATCTTCGTCTTCGTCATAGTAATAGTAAATGTACTCGTATTCATAATCTTGTCCATTAGGACCTTTCTTAATCTGTATCCTAGAATGTTGTTTTTGTTCGGTACCAGCGGTTTCAAGTTTAATGTTAGAGGATAGTAAACCACTATTAATATCATCTATGGTATCGAAATTGATAGGAATGTAGTCGTAGGCCTTAGTAGTGCCGATTGCTTCTGTCGTTAGAACTGGTTTTTGAGTAGTCGTGCTAGCCTTGTTACTTAGTTTACCGGATTCAGACATTGCTTCTAAAGCAACTGCCAAGTTTGGATTCGTTTCTACATTCTTTGCGCTCTCCTTAATTTTTATATCCTCTAATTTCGAGACAGGTATATCGACTTCTATCGATTCGGACGCCTTAATCTTTTGACCCTTTTTAAGAAGAGCCTTTTTGTCCTCTTCAATGGATACTATACCTTCAGTCGGGTGTTTAATTTTTCCACTATGTAATTTCTTGACAATTTTTTCATTGTTTTCATCTTGTTTTAAAATCCGATGATGTGGGTGTTTCTCGGGTATTTTGTGTGATGTCTCAAAATTTCTCAGTGGTGTCTGTTGGCCAGAACTAACTAATACATATTCTTCCCCTGGACGTGGCTCCGTGATGATGTCTACATCCGCACAAACCGTGTAGATGCAGATGAAAATGAACCTAAAACAAAGATATCTTTATTGCATATTTTGTCAGTTAATTTAGTATGACATTTGCCTACGATATAGTACGTGTTAATATTCAATGAGTCATCTAGACGACATCTGACTGTTGCAGCGGGGCGTAAGAACGGTGAGCGTGCTCATTGTTACTCAAAGCAAAAAGCTATGACTCATCTATAGGAATGTCTCATGATAGTAAGTTTTACTTGCGCAAGTTAATAGCAATATGATAGACAAGATATTGAACCATTATACTTCTATTGCGTGTTTTTTAAATCAGTTATAATAATTACAGATGCTTCAATTTCAAAAAGCCTAAGTAAAATGTAAGAAAATGTAACGTGATTTCTAAATAGTGTGATATTAGAGATAGTCAAAGCGCGAGGATTAGGAACGTGCGCAAATATAATGAAAGTGTAAGTGGATAGAGCAGTACTGACGATCACTTTCGCCTGGTAAATGTGTTCTATATTTACCATTTATATCTATATGAACAATGTAGTAAAAATACTTAGTTTTACTTTTCATTTCTGATACTTAATTCTAGATTTATTTTTACGATTATTTACTTATATCTGCAGATTTACCATGTATTTTTAAGTAAGTATATAAAACTTAAAGTTTTTAAAGTGTAACAACGTATTCCTATCAATAACTTCAAGATTTTTTTAACGTAAGTTTACGTTTATATCATAAGAAATGAATCCAATTACTAAAGTCGGAAGGAGTTGACTTCCGGGATATTTCTTGCTTATGTTGCCATGAGATGCGGAAATCAGTCGGGGGTTGTCAGGTACAGCAGCTGGTTGCTACGTAACCAAATAGTGTGAGTAATACGTCCATCACTAAAGCAAGCCATACACGTTGGATTCAACATAACGACTACGACCTTGAAGGGAAGATCTAATTTCGATGTACAGTTTTGTTTGTAGAGATTGAGTGTGGTTTATGCACGTAGGCCTATATCCGTCATATAAATCCTAACGTGTATAGCCTGCATAATGCTAAATATAAATTGAAATTTAATATGGTATGAGGTAAGATCGAATATATTACGTGATAATTATTAGAAGTATTGTGGTTAGGGAAAATGGACGCTGCAACTGAATAAGTTAGCCTCAATTCCATACACGAGCACAAACAGAACTGGTACTATCGTACTAGTTCAATTTCACTAGACGTAAGGTCGCACTGAGAGCAAGGCTAGGTGAGCGTAGGTATCTACTTAAACAGACTACAGACCATTTTATTAGGAGCCAACACTTCGTTTGTTTATTCGTCAACGTTAAAAGTATAATTGAACGAAAGGAAGATCTCACTATACTGGTTATGTCTGGGTTCTTCCAAAGTGACCTTAGGTTATATTAAACTTAAAGCTGTAAGTCAACCGGTTGCAATAAAAGGCAATACGAAGATAACCAATACCGAGAACAACAAATGCATGCAGCACGCATTGATGTTATTTGCTTTGTTGACAAAATAAATAAGGCATAAATAAAGTATTTTAATAAACAATTGAAAACAAAGAAATTAGATCAAATTTACTTCGAAGTGGAATTGCAGACTTGTTACTACGTTCATGTATAATTATTGCACTGCAAACAAAAAACAAAGCTATTAAAACGGAGCCGAAGTTAAAACAGAGTAGCAAACATCCGACATCAACATTATATCGTAACTTTGTCATCTCCACGCCTAATGTCTCCAGACGATGGTTCGTGCATGTCGTAACTCCGATTTGCGTGACTCGATTACACCGAGGTTCGACAACCTGGCTATTCAACCAAACAGTACACGTGGCGCACTGACTCTCGGCCGACTAATAAGGAAGTTATTCTCTCGCAAAATATATCTATGTGAACATCTTCACAAAATATGAAGACTTTGACCTTACAGCGCTTAATTTACAATGATTTCAAAATTTGATAAAGAATGTTTTTAAAATAATTAAAATTCCATACGAATAAGGTTAATCTTTATCGATATAATACACTACCAAAAGATATTTGATACTACATGTGACTTCCGATAAGTCATTAAATATGCCTCGCCCGGAAACCAATCCAAGGTTCGAAAAACACAATCTTTTAACATTTAAAAACATATTTAAAAAATCTTAATAACTCCATTTATAAAATATATAAATCAGTAAGGTAAAAAATAAGTGAGATTTGTTTTAAATGAAAGAACACGCTGACAAACGTGTCTTTAAAAAACAAATGTTGCAAGCATTATACCTACATATTCACATAAATATGTGAAGCGGATGCACGCACTTTAAGACCCAGGACATCCTTAAATTACCTTACGTAATAATTTTGTAACAGAAGTTTATATAAGTATTGTGGTTAAACATTCATACATAATAACATTGTGGTTAGAGTGAGAACATGAACTTTTGTGACACTTCATAGTTTGTTTGGTCATATTTGTCTAGTCCATTTCTAAAGTAGCAAAACCATCTAATTGTTACAAAATGACAGTATGAATGTTTACTTCACCGTGCACCGAACACCTACAAGATAATGTCAAGTAAATGTTAGTAACGTATGAGCATTGAGGTCACAGTTAACAATAGAAATTGATTATATACATTGCTGTATCTCAAAACTTATAAGGAGGGATGACCTTCTATACACCTAACATCACAAGCAATGTATTACACAACACAAATCACGCAATAACTCTGTTATTAAAGTTTATGACATAAACAACATAATGTATAGATTCAAACTATTAAAAAAGTCAAATTCGCATAACAATTTTAAAATCGGATTAACATAAAGAAACCTGGTTCATTTATCGCCCAAACTTATCATACTAGTCATACTTCCTACTAATATTCTAAATGCGAAAGTTTAGATGGATGGATGAACGTTTGTTAGCGTTTGTAGCCTGAACAGCTGAACGGATCTTGTTGAAATTTGGCATAGATGTAGAACATAGTCTGGAAAAAGACATAGGCTACTTGCTATTGTTTTTTTAACTCCACTCGGACGAAGTCGCGGGAAAAAGCTAGTATGAAAATAATGTCATGTGCGTAATCTCTTATGGTTGAAATTAAGTATAAAAGCATGCCTTGATAATGTTTATTTATTTTGAATCTCTGCAGCTCCAATTAACAAAATCAATAGTTTACATTTACTGTAACAACCTCTCATAAACTTGTGTAGATTATTCCACCGTCTACTTTATTTGCAATATTAGGTCGCTGGTTGTTTTGCTCACCGTACCACAATCAATCTCTAAAGTTTTTTATCCGTTGATTAATAAAAATTCCTCGTAGTATAATTAAGTATTAGCAAGCGAGAGCAATGAAGTTGCGTTACGAAAATATTTTTCGTTGTATCTCACGGTCTATTTTTGTCTAAAGGTATGAGCAAATGTAATGTAATGATCACTTTATCGCGCTACAGAATGCGTATTCGCAATCGTGAAATACCAAATAGCCGATTGTTGTAGAATAAACTAAATGGAAAAATATCAAAAGCATGACGGTATAAAATGTAACAGGACATAGTGTTATCGAAATTACCCAACGACAGCAGGTTTTGTCTGTCCATGCATAATCATCTAATAAAGAGTCATTTATAATCGGTATAAAATAAAATAGTCTTGTTAAAAATGCAGAGTTGACATTTAAGCAAAAAGTAACAGAAAACCGGTGGAAAACAGGTTTCCGCAGAAAGCTCGTGCGTCGATAGTTGCCAAAGCGTAATTTTGGACAGAAACGGCGATTGTTATACGTGGGAGTCCAATTCCACCTGTACAATGAGTAGGTCAAGGACTACTCAACATTTCCCACACCTTCATGTTAGCATTATGTCGTATTTACATATTTAATAATATGCAACTTAACACTTGAAGTAACCCAACGGTAGTTGGCTAGCAATGCACACGGGCATGATCTCTAAATCTCTAAATTAAAATGTCATATATATGAATAACTAATATTTCCCTCCACCGTTCCTGACCCAATGAACATACAATTAATTTTAACAATTTATCAACACACGTTCAAGATATAGTATGTACCTAACACCATCAAAGATATTTAGTTCATAACTGTGACACGGCTTGAAATCATACACTGTATTTAGAATCCCTTAACGATCACTGATAATATCCCAAACTGATAGTGATATTGTTTTAAAATGACAGTAGTTATTTTATCACTCATTTTCTGATTAATTCGAAAATAAATCAGAAAATAACGTCTAGAGGCAGTTATAAGAACCACATAATATCCGCATTTCATACGATGAACGTCACAAGCCATTACGTCTTTTTTTATAAGTTGGTAAACCGCATTTTATTAAACTAAGGAAATTCTAAAAACTTAATTATTTTATATAAAATATATTTCACTTCAATTCTCAACTTTGATATGATTTTGTAAGTCAAAGGTAGCTATCGTACTAATTGTAACCTTGCTCTATTGTAGTATCAAGGGACTTGTTTCATTCATTTAACTTTCAAAAGTTAAAATATTAGAAGTAGTGCACGGCTGCATATCATTGCTCAGTGTACCATTCCATCATGTTATTGAGGCACGGACTCGTATTACCATGTCAAGGTGTCACTGAATACACAATGTTACATCAGAACAACTATAATAAAGGCAATTAGGTGCTCATAAAGCGTATAAGACTACTTTTTATCTATTTAACACAGTTATTTCAAATTATAAAATTGTTATAAATAGCGAAAGGAATACAACATGCTGCTACAAGATATATGTATATTTTTTTTGATTCCAAGAGAATCTTTGTATAGTCATTTTGGCAGATTAAATAGAATGAGATCCACTATATCCTGTTATAGTTTAAGGCTTGACCAATGTTCAACAATGTCGATCAGTGCGAGTTATTTCACAAGGTACCTACTATGAAAACATTATCAGTTATTGCATAATAAAAGTGACATTCACTGTAGCATTGTATAGCATTTCCCTGAGTGTAGTTAAATGATAATTAAACAAAATGGTCGGTTTTAGTT